GTATTGCTCAAAGGTGTTGCAAGTAGTGAAGTGAGTGGCAAAGTTCTGTAAGGAGCCAGAACAGGTGAAGAAAAAGGGCTCGCTTTCAGAAATGGTGGAGTTACCAGCTTTGCTGGACTTAAAAAAACCAGAACAAAACACAAGAACAACAAACTCCCTAAACACCAAACTTTGTGCTTAGAAGCTTTTTGTTATGCAACTGAAGAAGCAAGACAAGTGATTCAGGGGAGGGAGTAACATAATAAAGGGCAGAGAGGGTCTAAGAGGAGTGATTATTGGGGGGAAAGCACGGTGCCAGACATGAGACAGCTGAGAACTAGTGGGGAGAAGATGGCCTGGCTAAAAGCTTGGGACAGACAAAGCAGGACATACTTCAGATGTCACAGGAGGAGCAATCCGAACAGGCTGTTGCTTCAAACCTTGTTTCTAGCTAGTCAAAAGTTACTGGAATTCATTGCTTGAGAGAAGCTGAGGTTTCTACTGGTGTGAAAAATTTTAAGTATTTCTATGTATTGTCATTACATCACCATTCAGTCACTGGGAAATTAGATAAAGGAACTATCGCTGTGTGTTCCTATACTTTCCCTAGGTATCCTCTATTGGTCCAAGGATAGCATTTATGCTGATTTAATGGGTTTGATGTGGGAAAATGTGGCTCTGCAAACAGCCAAGGATAGCACTGTCTCAAAAAACTGTTACCCATTTTTCAGGCATTATGGACAGAAAGGTGAAGCTTGACCAGAACTTTCTACCATCACATCAGCAACATTTGTAACATAGCTCACCTTGACGTTTCATAGTCACTCTCAGAATTACAGCTTAGGATGCAAACACCAATGTAAGTTGTTTGCAGAGGTTGGTTTTGTTTTTGAAGAGGATTACAGATGACTTCAAGGCTAGGAAACAATAAATACCATCATTTTACAGATTGTTTGCCCAGTGTTCCACTTTTCATTATTCAACTTAGTAAGATACGAAGATCTCCCACAGGTATAGCTTCCATGTTTGGGTTTTTTTTTTTGCTTTTTTGTCCTGTAGTATTACCTTTCCAGAGTGCAAAAGCTGATGCATTAAGACGATTCCATCTGGATGTTTAGGCAGGAAGACAGGTTTGCTCTCAGCAGTCTCAACAAAGAACACCCTTGGAGACGCCTTTGCTTTCTCCTCTACCTGTACACTTGAACTTGCCACTGGGCAGAAGCAACTCTAGAAACAACTGCAATGGGGCAGGTGATTATTTTTTTTCCACATAGGCAAGAACGTAAAGGTGGTACACTTTAATACGATCCAGGTACGTATTTACCTTTGTACAAAGAACTTAAAAAATAAATCCACACTGTCATGTTGTAACTATTTATAGTTTTTCACAAATGTCCAGTTTGCAATAAAGTGTATTTGGAAACAAAGTCTTCCACCAGGTCTCCCTGCAACATCTTCATGGCTCGCCAGTGAATGCTCCCACAGTTCTCTGGTTTGCCTTGGGGATGACTTAGCTCCTCTTTGATATAATCCAGCCAGAGATCTTTAGAAGAAAAATAGAAGTTCTGTTTAAATTTTGGTTGGATATTACTTAACAAACATACCAAACCTCACATAGCAACTCTCTTTTTGCAAGCGTCCGTGATGTTAACGCAACAAGGTTTACTTTGCGAAACTACAACCCCCTGCCCCTTGAGGGCCAAAGGCCTGGGTTCTATTCCCAGCTGGGACAGCAACGTGTTAAGAAATAACGCAGCAATAATTGGAGCCATCTACTTTCTTAAAAGGAATACTGCAGAAACTTTGATTATAAAAACATAGCTCCATACTGTTCGCAAATCCAAATTAAAGGTGATACACATCTCCTATGCCAGCCAGCGTCAAAACCTTATTTGCTAGCAGTTCTGCTGAAGCCATCCCACTGTGAACAACGACCCTGAACCAAAAGTGAAGGGTCACTGCAGAGTGTCACGCACTTAATGGCACAGAAGAAATAAGCTCCATTCTTCATGACAGCAATCACAAGGGGAGAACAAACAGCTACCTTCTGAAATGGATGGAAATAAAAGAGGCAGCACTGAATGGATAAATAAATAAATAAAAGCCCCTTACCAGAATCTGTTGAACCAAACTCTCTCAAGGCACGTTCGTAGTATTCTCTCAGATGAAGCATTTTGCAGCATTCCTAACAAAGGAAGGTATTAAAAGACCGTTTATTTTGTACAGAAGTGAATCTGCAGCTTCATTAGATTCTTACAAAGAAAAAGAGTCATGGTAATTACACGCGCACACGCACACTGCCAAAGATTAGTTACCATGGAACTTGGTTTTGTATTACATGCTATGAATCAACTTTAGGAGACAAATATGAACTGATCACACACTAATGACACTACTCATAAGCCCTCTGTTTCCTATTTAAATCCAAAGTTAGAAGTGCATTTTACAAATACAAGGCACTAATTGGATATTCAACAACTTACTTGCTCCTTTTCTATTTGGATCATCTTCCTGAAGAAGTCAAGTGAAAATGGACGATTTTCACACAGGCTGAAGTAAAAACACAAGTAACGTTAGACTTCAAGCCTTTTAACATATGCCCTAGAACAACAGCATTTGAAGGTTTTATTTGTCACCTGGTAAAGACTCTCTTAACTTTCTTATAACCACCATTCCTGTAAGTCCAGTCAAGATACTTTTCTTTCATAGTCAATTGTGGCATGTAAGGATCTCTACAAGTTTAAAAGGAGAAAAACACAAAACCAAAAAACAAACCAACCACATAATTAAAAGGCAGCAAGGGAGAAGAAACCAAATAGTACCTTCTCCCTCATTAGGCATCTGACAGAAAGCAGATCTCATAAGTGAGACAAAGCACTGGACAAAAGCATCCCAAATGATGTCTGAAAGACAGCATTAGGTAACACATCCAATATTTTTCAAATTAAAATATTACTTGTAACCTAAAATACATCTCTCATCCAATATTCCATACAGCTGGCAACTGGCACTTCCCTAACATCCTTCACACACAAGGCTTCACAATGCTCTACAACAACTGAATTCAAGCTTCCACCTGAAATCCGTGTTTTGTGTTGTAAATAAGGGCAGGGGGGAACCCAACATGCCAGACCAAGAGAAAATGTTTTGCCCTAAGCTATTTAGGGAATTTACAGTGAGATTAAAGTCCCAGTTTTGTTCTTGAGTTTTCCGTAATAAGCTTGATGTTTTCACACAGATTGGAAAATTCTCTTTTCCATGTTCAGAGAAACATCTGAAAAATAGAGTAAAAATTCTGGACCACAAAGAAGAGTCCGTCATTGGCTGTGCTTACAAACATCTAGATGTCTTAGAAGCATGGGGATGACATCTGTGTTTATGAGCCTATGTCCAACTGATTTTTGGTAACTTACACAGCTTTACTTGAAATTCTCCAAAATCAACACATCCATGAAGGAACTGCAGTACAAAGCAGTTGTTACATGTTCCATCCACAGACATTGTTCCTGTTTATTTACATGCTGTCATAAAAAGGAGATTTCTATTAGCTAAGTACCCGGTAGAGAGCTTCTGTGTCTTCCTTGCTGTTTGTGCCTTCACTCCATTCCACCCAGAGGGTCCATAGTGGCAAAGTGCCCTAACAAGGTAAGCAGATAAATCAAGTGATTGAAATACAGTGACCCCGATCTACAGAAACAGACAGCAACACATCCACCAGGTTCTGCATTACACCTGCCGTAAAAAACGTCCTTTAGACAAAGCTCTTAGAAAGAGAACTTAGGACTGCACACTGAAATCACTTCTTGTTTCCTTCCTCACTTACAGGACAAATACTACTTAGCTGGACAGCTACAAGACATGTTGGCAGGGACGAGAGACAAGTTCTTCTGCATCACCAAACACTGCAGTATAAAGGTAACTTCCGAGAACAGCAAGGAAGAAAGAAACAATCACCTCCTTGTTTCCCCTCCTCACTCCTTGTGCCCAGGGTTTGAAATGGAACAGTAAGAGAGCACAGAGCTAATTCAAGGCTTGAAACACCACACATGCAAATAATGTATCAAGACAGTGAAAAGGAAACACATTTTTTCAAGTAAGACACAAAGAATACCAGCTGACTGCTAGAAGAGTATGCAAAATGTCACCTGTGAGCATTCAGACTTTAAAACTGTGAGCATGAAGTGAACTTGCAATTCCCTTATGCTCCTGAATGCAATGTGCATGTGAAACGTCAAGTATTTATTTTTCACTTTAAAAATGGTTAGGGACTTTGAATGCCTTGTAAAGGAGAAAAAACCCCAAATATCAGAGGTTTCCTGTCTAAGACTAATGCATGCAGGTCCATAAAACCAGCACAGACCTTAGATTTCACGTGCTTAACGGCTTCTTCAAAACACTGGGTCACCTCGTCACTCTTCAGTTGGATCAGCACCTGCAGCCTCATCTGCCAAGTTTCCAGTGAAAGGCTGAAGCGCTTCGTTGCAGCTTCTGCCACCTCCGTAGCCTTCTCAAAGAGGTTGGACTCCAGCAACAGTTGAAGCTAAAACCCAGCAGATACAGCTAATCACCACAAGAGATTTGTAATGCCTTGTTAAAAAGCAAGGCCTTGATCAAAATATCGCCCACCTTTCTATCTACTCAAAATGGTACAGATAGGCACGCAAGCAATGCGGGACAGTCTCACAATCTATTTTTCTGTGTCAGCTCTTACCCACTGCTTATAGAGAGCTTCTGGCAGCAAACTGGACTCATGGGCTTTGCTGAACACACTCAGTGTCCTCTCCAGCCTCTAGAACCAACAGAGAAGAAAAAGTAAAGAAAATAAGCATTAATCCTGCGTATACCAGATCCCAGCATTACAAGAAGCCCAGTGGGCTGATGGATCAACACGTCACTGAAATTCAATGAAAGTTACATACATAATGCTTTAGGTACCTGCATACATTCCAAGATAAAGGGGAAATCTGAGCATTTGCATTACACTTCTTCCTTAAGGAGCAAAAGAACAACATAGCAATGTTCTTTTACTATATTAAAAGGGAACCAAACGGCACAGGATGATTAGTTAATTCAATGAGTCACACTCAAGCATAGATGCATCATTAAGGTGTCCACGTGCCAGCACCAAACTTTACTCAGACTTATTTGAAAGAGTCATTTTAATTCATCCTTTTTCTTCGAACAAGGACAGGTTTGCAGGGCTGTCAGTGCCCAGTTTGCAGGGCTGTCAAGTTTGCATTCTTAACTTCCATCCAGAGACATCACTGGACTTTACTGACAGTGCTGGTTTATGCCCAGGCTATTCATGTTCAGGCAGGCCACATGTGAGCCTGACAGTAAAAGTGATCCCCTCAGATGAAGACTAAGTAATTTGTAATGATGGCCGCAGGCAACTATTTCTGATAAAAAGTCAAAATATATTTGCTCCTTGTCTGATAGATTACAAAAGTCAGTAAAAATAGGGATGATCTGTTGCTACGATTTCCTAATAAGCTTTTACCTTTTGTTTTAAATCTTCACTGTTGGTTTTCCTGTTGTATCTCTCTAAACAAAAAGTGATGTAGCATTTCCATATGTCCTCTGTAGAATCAAAGGCATAATATCACACTTCACAGAATCACAAGAGTAAGCACAAATATTTGTCTTTAAGGAATATAGAGAATCCAAGCACTAAGTGTTAATGCCAACTCGGTTTTAAAATGTTATATTATAAAAGAGGCCCTACATTTATAACATTAACATTTAAAAATGGCTTCCCCGTATAAGCTGCCTTCTCTTAGGCCTGGCAAAGCCTGCCAACACCTACTTCAAAACTTTCACAGCATACAGTGTGCTGAAGTACCAGGAAAAAATGTTAAAATGCAGGCAGAACATTTCACCTGTTGGGACTGCTCTCACAGCCTCTTCAAAGACCGCACAGCACCGCTCCTCTCTCTGGGTCATTTCGGATACTTTCATCTGTTTTGTGGTGTGTCCTGTGGACTGCAGGGACCCCAGCTCCAGCTCACGACGGGCCAGGTAGTCCCATGTAAGAGGGTCATCAGCATACTTGGCCTGCAGACTAAACGCACCGTGTCTGTAATATCCCTCAACTGCCACTCTTCTTTTGCAGGTATGTTTAGAAGGGTCGTACTGGTATAGAAATGTACTTAATTTCCAAGTAACCAAATGCCAGAGAAAAAACGTTTTACCTTTCCACAACAGAAAGACAAAATACTAGCCTATTTTGGTTTTTTATTTAATATGGATATTCTCCAGTAATAGCATGAACTAGGCAGGAAGCTTGCAAGAGAGATCTTTCTTTTGAGAGAGAGAGGAACAACTGGAGAAACTGAAGATGCAAAAGAACCACAAAGTACACTAGGAAAAACCACAGTTCCTGCAGTAAATTTACGGAAACTAGGTGTAGTAATTATTCAGTGACAACTGTGTTTTATCTAAATTTTTCTTAGCAGCTTCTCAAAGCCTTTTCTGGAGTTAGATACAAGTATCGTTTTCTAAAGAGCATGCTTGCCTCACGTTTTGTTTTTCTTAAAGCATTTCCCATAAGCTGTAACATTCTATTTCCCTAGAGGAACAGCCTTTAGTTGTTAACCTGTCAACCCACTATAAACTAGGGAAGTTATGAGAACATGTTTCTTAAAAAGCAAAACAAAATAATAACAACAAAGCCACACCTTACCTTTCGAGAATTTCTTTTTGCAAATCTTGGGTAAAATCGAAGAGCTTTGCAATAGACAGCACAGCCAGATGGAATTCAACACCTACATTTCAAGAGGAGAAAAAAAACCTATCAAGTGGAGTATTACATCCATTGCACACTTTGCATTTCTGTATCTTTGCAAGCTTTTATCAAGACACAGTTAACATTTAAGTGCCTAGACAGATACCCTTTTTTTATAAATCTCAGTGTTCTACCCACATAAGCCATGTTAGGATGTTGATTGTCTGACTATATTCTTCACAACTCCATGATATCCAGTTACCAAAAAAAAAAAAAAAAAAAAAAAAAAAAAAAAAAAAAAAGGTCATGAGAGGCAGGACATTCCAGACTCCAAAGTGATAAACTAGTCCTGTCCTGACATGCTTACTGATCCTTCCAGCTTGGCTCTACTTGCAAATTTAATCAGCATCTCCTCTATTCCTTCATTTGACCCTGCCATGAAAACACAGAATGCTCCACACTTGGGACAGACCTCTCCAAAGCTGCACACAGTGTATGTCCAATGAATTATATCCATCCATCTTGTATCTCCATAACTTATCTGTGAGAATGCGAAGTGACATGACTTGACATAACCAGTTCACTGCGAATCCCTATCAGCCATTACTCACCTCCTTATTTTTAGGTGCTTACAAATCATTTGTATACCTATTTATTCCAGTATTTCTCCAGGAATTTAAATTAAGCCAACTCTGTCATTTCCCCTAATGTCCTTTCTTTCCCCCTCTACTTTTCAATGCTGTTATTACATTTTGCCCATTATCTTCCAAAATATCCCCACCTATCATGGCTTCTCAAAGATACCTGCTACTACTTTGCAGTTATTTTACCCATTTCTCTCAATAAAATGGGTGAATTCACCAAGCCTGGTTAATTTAAAATCATCTAACCTGTTTTATTGTTAGTCTAAATTCTTACTTCTCTGTCACTAGTGCTAGCTGATTAGTTGTGATCTAATGTTCAGTAAACAACAAAGCAAAAAAGGTGTGTCATTCTGAACTGTCCTCCCTTTGTTTTTTTGCACAAACAAGTTTTGAGACTGTAAGCCCAGCACCTATACCACCTCAGCCCAAAAGCTGCTGTACTGGAAGAGGTGTCAGCCTGCAGAACAGTTAGGAAATCAGAACTATCAGCACTATTAATTTATACTTTGGCATTATCTAGGTTCTACTGAAGAAATGGTACAGTTGAAAATATCTTGGTGTGTACACTAGAGCCAAGTCTCTCTGTATTACCTACTGGAGAGCTGAGTTAAAGGTCACAATTCTCCTATTGAATAAGTAAAAGAAATGTTGAATCACCTTTAATTTTCTGAGCAGCATCCCTGTAGATTATGCGAGCCATTTCCCCATTGAGAATCTCTTCGGAATAATTGAATTCCCCCTGCAATATAAAACGTAACATCATTAAAAAAATTGTTTTCCTTTCTCAGCTACCATTTTTGCAAATGTGGAAAAAAACATCAGAAGATACTAATGTTTTTCTTCATCTATCTTTATCTAATTCACACAAGTCCACTATAAAGATATAAGAGATAGTAAGTTTAACTACTCCTTTCCAGAAATTACTATTAACTTTCAAACTGGGGGATGTAACAAAAGACTTTACAAATGTAAAGAAAAATCAACGTATGAACGTATTTGAGCTGAGCATCAGCCAACACTTGAAAAGCTTAGGGCAGGCACAGGACATGAACAAAAGCTTTCTCTAAGCTGTTCTCAAACAAACCATTAACACAGATCCCTCAAAACTATGGATTCAAATGTGTGATACGCAAGCAGATGCTATCTCTTCAGTAAGTTTAGCTGACCTACCAAGTCCATCTTTGCTTGTTCAAATGCTTTCTTTTCCTTCCTCTGTTTTTCAGCATGCATCAGCTCCATTCTGAAATACTGCGAGAGAGAATAAATGAAATTATTGTGGGGGTGGGGATAAATCATAAAACATCTAAGTCCACAAATGTGGTAAAACAAGCACTACCTGAGGAGTTACAAATCAGGGCTTTACCAGCATCCCACATATGTCCAAGAGCCTTGGTTTTTAAAGGTTTGTACATACAGCTATCTGCCCTACATATTTACTCAGAAATTTCCCACGTGTAGAAATTACCACTTTCTAGTCATTCTTTAAACCTCAACTTGCCCTCAAAGAAAACCATGTTCCCTAGCAAAGGCTGGGGATGCTGGATCTCATCCAGAGAACTATGTCCTAGCAGAGCTTACAGTACTTTAGAAGGGAATTCTGACACATTTATCTATAAACAGTGTAAAATCCTCACTCTGCATACATAAACACAGGGTTTGGTAAACAATTGATAAATGCTACCAGTACAAAGTACCTTTTTTTTAAAAAAAAAAAATGTTTTTGACATTTTCCCACTGATGGGGAAACTAAGTTTTTTCCAGTTTTCTCTGATTGATCAAATAACTGGTCGTAGAAGAAATCCAGGAACTCACTTCTTGGTAAAGTTTTGGGCACTCTGGATGGAAGCGCAAAGCACGAAGGAACAAGCGCCTAGCACTTTCTGATGAGAGTTGTGTCTCCATTTCCCATTTTGCTGCCATAATCCACAGTGCTGCAACAGATGACACAAATAAATTCATTTTAAGGCAGAGCAAGTGGCTGGTCATGAGAACCCATTTTGAAGCTACTCTCCAGGATGCACACGTTGGTTTTGTTCCATGTACCCACCCCAACATAATCCGTGAGCTCAGCAATGGAATAAGACATTATCTCCCATGTAAAACCTAGTTAAAGGACTAAAAGCTAAGCAGACCCAGGAAGTTTAATCTGGTATAGCTACAGATCCAATGATGTACAATGATGTGTTCAAAAGCCAAAAAGCAGCCATGAGTATTCAACATCTCCTACCTCTGAAGCATTTACCTAGCCCCCAGTCTACCTGGGAAATGGTCATTCAGACCATGGGGACTCCTACTTCACATCACCTTTTGATTGCTCGGCACAATCCCTGTCAGAGCCCTTCTCTCTGAAGTAGCAGCAAGGCAAAGAAAAGAGAGTAGGAACTTTTACCCCAATAGCTTTAACTGAGATCTGTTAAGAACTTAAACCAACACTACACAATCTATACCCAGTCATTTATGCAGCGCTTGCCATTGTTTTATTTACCTGGTTTATTGGAATGAATGGCCAACATGGAAGAAAACACCTTGCTAAGCTGATGTTTCGCATTCTGTAAAAGAATAATTTTTGTTTCACCCACTCTAGTACCAAACTGAACCACCAGCACCAAAGTTTCATTATGAAAGGTTACAAGTTGTAATGCAATTGTACTGGACAAGACACTTCCCTGCTACTGTATCTTCAGTAGAAAGTTTCTCATATTTGCTCAATACTGACCAGCTTTCAAATGTTACCAGACTAGATAAGCTTAGTTAATTCAAACCTTTCTGAACTGCATAGCTAACACCAACGTTGCCTAAGTCACAAACCCATAGTCTCACTGACCACTTTTGAGGTAAAGACTGCATTTTTCTTTGGCTACTTGCATTACTATGACAAGGTCACCACCTTCAGTACAGGAATGACAATGACTGAATGCTAATAATGACGTGAATACTTGCACAGGTAAGTTTACAAAGTACAGAATTGCCAGAATTACACTTTTCAGCATAGCCACTGTAAGAAATGTTTGGAACAAAATCACATTTCACAGACAGATGATCTGTTCATTCCAGAAAAGGTATAACCAATATTACGATTCTCCCAAACCAAATGGTACTCCAGATTCAATGCAATCAGCCTCACCTTTGCCACCTGCAAGCATCAAATTTCATACTAAGTCATTCTGAGTCAAATTCTTCACTTACATACATCAGTGAAAATCCCAGACAGCTCCAATAATACTTTCTAAATCATTTAAGTATTACAGCATGTGGCAGTAAAATGTAATTCAAGTTCCAGACGCCTGATTAAACACCAATCCAGCATAACAACTCAGATAAGATTAGCATTTTGAAAACTCACCCACTGCTTGCAAAATGCAACATGTGAAAGCCAAAGCTGGACATCTTCCTGTTGGAAACGCAAGAGGGAGAGAATCAACCTTACGGTAAGACGAGCACAAAATCACTTGCACATCGACAAGCAAACAACACGCCCTTGGTACAACAACCTGGCATGCAGAGAAAAGGAATTTTGAATCTCAAATTCCCTTTTGTTTCCCCTCAGATCGTCAAATTCCTGCAAAACATCCAAAGAACACCAACCCTCCCATCAAAAGGCACACCCTCGCAGCCTCTCCAATCAAACTGAGGTTACACTGAACCCAACAGAGAGCTCACTGTAACGGTTCCTGAGGCACCTCATTTAGGTTTTACCATTAGAGGTATCAAGACAATCTTTTCCTAAAGCAGATGAAACTTCTTTTCATTCTTTTTCTAGTCCTCGCAAGCAAACAGACCAAACTCACGTTGCAATACGTGGCTCTACACAGTTGAAGACTAATGACTCAGAAAGGACAAAATATTGTTTGTGTACAAAAACAGTCTATCTGATATGAATGATCTACTTCTACACTACTACTAACTGTAAGACCAAATGTTCACTTAGTTTTTCTACCACATTCTTCTGTATTGTTGCAAATATTTGGTGGCAATGATATCTAGATAATTTTACATACCAAAAGGGCATTTGTCAACCTATCTGTACAAATAAAGAGACTTACTTTCCATTTCCCTGTAGCACGGTTGAAGAGGCTATGGACTCTATGCAGAATGGAATTCTCAATTTCATCCTTCTTAAATGAATATCCAATGCGCTAGGAGGAAAAAAAAAAGTATTAATGTTATTGCAATAGAAAATTTGGCATAAAGTATTTTGCACTCTAAGTAATTGATAAACTTACTGCTCTTCTTTTCTTGATCAGTTCCAGCAGATTGATTTCATACTAGAATGGGGAGAAAAAAAGCATTTAAAAGCAAATGAGAAAGCACATAACGATAACAACCCCCCCCCCGATTGAATTTTTTATAGCTGATCAGGTGGACAATAATTACATCCAGGAAAACATAAGGTGTAATTTTTCAGGCAGATCACTACATTTCTAAGGCCGACTGAAATGAAACTTGAGTATTTGTATTGCACATGGTATTTCAGACTTGAGCTGCTGGCACCCCATGTTCCTAGAATCATAACGTGCAAACCAAACCTCTGACACCACAAAAAATTAATTACACTTTGCTACAATTCGCACAGCACATCAGGGAACTGGGGTCTCTGCATCCCTGGAGAAACAGGCAGCTATAGCAAGGAGGTCAGAAGAAAGAAGACTCCCTCATCGCAGGCTCGGGCAGCAGCTCCCGGCAATGCT